AATTGCTAATAAAGATATACAGGTATAGTCACAAACTGTAATTAGAAATGACACATAAGTCCTTAAGTAGTGTCAAAATGAACAATGATACTGCATTGCTAGCAGTACTCATGAAAATAAAATCTCCAAGCATATGTAATATGTATATCCAACCATATATAACGAATTGGTCCATGCAAGCATGGTTCTCTAAGAGTTACTTGGAACTTGGATCAACTTTGTACTAAAAGAGTTTTCTCGTCTAGATCTACTATTTAAGTAGAGCTCTAGCATATTAATCTCATTAATACTCGTAAGCTCAAATATTGAATTCACACTTTCATCACTATAGATTGGTACATCGACATAACAAGCTTGACTGATCCTGTTTTGCAACATCTTCCAAGTAATTTCAACTTCTATTTTAAACATATTCTAGCAAAGTTGATTATATAATATACTATATAACTCATTAAGAAACATGTCTAATATAGCAGTTAAGAACTCTTGACTTTCTTCATTATAAGTGATATCATTTGATATTTTGTCAAACAACATAATAAGAGACAAATCTAATTGATTAATATATCCTAGGATTAATTAAAATGCATAATTTATCAACAAAACCATAACAATAACATAATCGGCTAAAACCTATATCCATCAAATTAATTAGCAAGCACCTACACTCATCAAATTTCGCTACCATAATGAAATTATCAACCCAATTCATGTACTTCATAACCAATTATCTTATTTTATATCTAATTCGGTATAATTCATAATTTAATTTAAATCAACACTAACTTTAACAAAATAATTTTGTTAATTTATAATCAACAACAATCTATAATCATTGATTATTTTATAAAATAATTTTTAATTAATTTAATTTTTAAAAAAAACCAAAAATTTTCAAAAAATTCCTAATTCAAAACACATTAGCATATGGGTGATACCAGTGATGGCTATTTTGGCCAAAAATAGGTTGACCTGCGGTGAATTGGGGGGGCAACGATCTCAAGCTAGAAAGAAAAAGAGATGAGTAGTCCGGGCAACGATCTCAAACTGGAAAGAGAAAGAGATGAGTAGTCTCGTGGTGTTTTGAGTGTGTTTCACATTAGGAAAAGAGAGGAAGGTCATTGACGCCAGGGATAGAGAGGGTGAGTGGCTGTGAGGAGAAAAGAGAAAAATACAGAGAGAACATGAAAAAAATGAGCTTTGAATATCAATTTTGCATAAAGTCGAAAATATCATCTACGACTCGCGGGCTCGCGTGTTATAAAAACTCATAAATTTATATTATCCCCAAATATTTTATTCAATGTGTTACTTTACCACTATATTGTTTTCAAATGCTAAAAACCCAAAAACCTTATGATTCAACCTTAAAGTTCGAGAGGACCTTCTCGTGGCAGCCATGTCAGAGTTCTGATCTTACTTCATCCAGTACTCTGCACATGATCCCAGCACACCTGAAATGGACTACATCATCAGAGATGAGATAACAATGGTGTCAGTATCTGGCCATTAATGGGCATAATTGAAGAGAACAGGATGCAAACATTGCCCCCAACTCATTGAACCAGAAAAATGATGGTGAACCACAGGTCCCCAGCATCATCTTTAGACCTCTGGAAGCAAAATTTGCATGCCTCCTACTTTGGCCCTGAAAAATGCAGGGATTCATCAATAACAACCTCGAAACTCCGTGGAAAGAAAGATGAGAAGCAATAGGCATGACTTCCACTGGCAAGAAGAATAGTTAAT